ATTAGTCGTCTTCTAGAGGATTATTGCAAATGTGTATTGTCCGTTATACTTTGCTGAAGTACTAGTACTTCACACGAGTAATACTACGAGGCGTTTTTTTCATGTATGGACAACTTCACAAGACAATAAAACGGCATGGGGGAGGGGGGAGGGGGTAACCGCTCTTACGGAAAATTGTGAATTTGATTTACAAAAAAATCACCCATAATTGGCCAAAATAATTGAAGTAAAATGCCTTACAGTGGAATTTATATAGTAACAGTCTAGTCTAGTATCATTCATGAATTTCTTAACAATAATATAACTGCAATACAGACACTTGTAAATTGTATTTTAGCTCCATGCCCACAACACTGCAAATAACTTTTGATTTGAATCGGAGTCAATTTTACCTGCTACTATAAACATAAATTGACCAGGTCAAATTTAATTTACATTTTTTGTTAGTTCTGCTCAACTTTAAACATTTACTTGAACTGGGATATATTTAAAATAATCATGTAAATCTGTTTTCCATTCCAGTATATCAAGCAGAATGAGACAAAAAAGGTGACGAATTGATTTACAGCAGGAAGACCCCTGTATATTATGGAAAGATGTGAAAAAGAAGGAAAATTTTAGGACTGATCACAATCTGGCATGTCATTTGTTGGAATTAGCTTTGCTAGTTCAAACACTGGACTGTGCTACAACCATTTATTTCCGGATCGAGATAAGATGTCAAATAAGTCTGCTGCAAATCTATGAAATTTTTGCCATGGCTGTACTTGAAAACTCATACCGCAGGATATTTTATTGACTGCCACAGTTCATAAGGACCTCAATAGTGACACCAAACTCAGCTTATGGGCCCTTTAAGATGTATGTGTATGTCCTGTGAAAATCTTGGACTGAATTTTGGTACACATTAGCCACTGTCTATTATTGATATCAACTTTGCATCTGCTTGTCGTACACATCCTTGTTAATTCTTACATGTATATTAAAAAACCTGCTTCCAGACACATATGTTCCAGTTGAATTAAATTTATTTAAAGGCCCAGGTATACTATAAATACGCTCCTAAACAATAGGGATCATTTCCTTGCTTGTCACGCTGTAGTAAACAGCTCCAGCCAAGCTCCGGTAAAAACGTGTTTTCTTGAACTTACAGGTCGATTATGTCGTGCCAAAGTGGATGCATGTGACTATGAATATCACAGCAGTGACTGTGTGTAATATTTATGACAATAAATTGTGTACGAGCTGAGATTTTGGCGGATAAAAGTAAAGAACATGAACCGGGGAAAGGGATGCGTGACTAATCTTGAATAATTACTACTGTCAATCAAAGTTATGTGATGTTGGACCGCTGAAACAGGATGCATCATAGGCTACGCAAGTGATTAACACCATGCATTAGAATAGCCACACCTCCAATTCACACTTGCCCCGGGCAAGTGAATTGGGCCTTTAAATGCAGTTACAAAAATTGTGTAAATGAAGTTCATACAAAGGTTGTGACAAAAGGTGTGCACATGTCAAGATTGTTGAAGAGTGGCTAAACTGTTGACATGCCCTCAAGTAACCTAGAGAAATGTATTGTAAATGGATAAATGTAAATAAAAACAAATCACCAATGTGTAATTTTCTGTACAGATTTTTGTAATTGTGTTCTGACATCTCTCTCCCTGGCAACCTCCTGGACTCGCATACAGTCTGTTGTTTCCCTGCTTGTTATATTTTCATAATAAATATAATTGTTGAAAAAAAAATTATATTTTTACTTTTTAGCAAATTATTGAAAAACAAGAAAACTTGAATTGAGGACAACCATCTTTTCTTACCAGTTTCTAGAAACAGAATGAACGATTCATTTAAAAATAAGGATGAACTTCGCCACATCCCCACTGTATGCAGTTACCTGTCTATCACTCAGTTTAGACATGCACTGAAAGTTGCCAATAACATGTAAATAATTTTACTTGAAAGGCTAAATTTAAACAAACCTGACCACTTTTGACTGGAATTTTTCTCCAATTTACAAAATAACAATTTAAATGAGGAACAAAAACAGACAGCTGAATATTCATTTCAGTATGTTTCTACTGTTCATTTCTGGCTGTAAGCATGATGGACTGTAACTAAGGCCTAATTATGTGGATCTGTATTCAGTAACGGGTGGATTTTGTCTTTTTTAATAGAAACTTTTATGAAGTTAAATGATCTATTTATCATTAGAAAGTCTGGGAGAGATGGTGAAATGCAGACAAAAAATTAAATTTTGAAAACCAAAATCTACATGTAACCTTACAGAAAAAAAATTGAAAACATACTTGAAAGAGAAAATCAAAAAAAAAATTCACAGCAACACTGTCATGAAAAAAAAAATGTAGCTCATAACCAGGTGACGGAATAAAATAATTTTTACACAAGTTCAACCCCCCAAATTTCTTTTTTCCAATGGTCAACCCTATTACCAAATATAAATGTAATCACAGAAATATTCGCATCACAAATCAAAAATGGGTTGCTAACTGGGATTGATGAAAGGTTTACCACATGCACCTAATATATACTAGTAATATACCAGTTATATGTGCTACACTTGAAATCTCCAATTAGAAATAGAATACTGGTTTCAGAATTATATGTATTGTAATTGTGTGTAAATGCCACATTTGCTATGAAAATTAATTAAAGTAAAAAAAATGTCAAACGACTCCATTTATATGCTCAAGAATATGGCACATGTAAAGTGAAATTAAAAGTGGTCCAAAAATAAAAACATCTAAGACAATCGTACCTCCACGTGGAGAATCATCACCCAACAACAACAACTGACAGCGTGACCTCAGACAACGGCGGCCATCTTGAGTGTTTGTTTACATTTTCGATTGACAACTTTCTAGCAAAATTAGCACACATATTTATCCACGGCAATGTTCAAATTCATTCGATCTGCCATAATAGTACAGTGTCGCTGGGTATACTTTTCGAGAACTACGATCAAAATTATCAATTTTGTTGTGCACAGCGAGAGCCGCCGCCACGAGTCGGGGTACTGTTTTGTTGACATTCGTCGGACAATGCTCAGCCACAATCAAACACGGCGAACAACTAATACGAAAAACCCATGGAGTGTCTGTAAATGGTGTTGCTAGGTTGAATATACTATTATTCCTGATGTAAATGCGATGAAATAGCCGTGAATAGCACGGTTCGATCCTCAAATAAAAACACATAAGCAGTATACTCCCATACAGTACGCACTGTTGTTTGAAAAGGCCGGAAGTTAACAGTCCGAAGTCTGAAGTCAATGTGGCGCAACGTCCGGTTTAAACAACCAATGACCGTCGTCCAATGCAATGCCTTTAATCTGTAGCATATAGTACTTTGGTACAACAGTGTATTCATTCGAAACTATATACGGCGCACCATAATTATGACAAAACGAAAGAGATCTCTACCTATGAGCGAAGAAAAGAAACGCCTTTTAAAAGAAAGTAATAAGGGCTCCTATTTCTACGAACCAACAGAATGGTTTGATAGCGACTCGGAGCAGGATAACGAGGAAGTTGACAACGTCAACATACCAATGTTTTCGAAAGGAAAATAGTTACCAAACCAGACTATGGAGAAGACGGCACTGGATCGCTATTGATGATCGACAGCAGTATCTTCAATTCAGGAATCGCGACTTTTTATAGTGTGCGGCCAGTGTAAAGAAGAAAACGTTACGCTGATGAAAAACAGGAGCATTCGACATGGCTGGGAAAGTCAGTTGTATCACAGTCCCTGGACTGTGGTTGTAGTTTCAATGTAATACGTGTGAATGCATATCGGACACTTTCCCGTCATCACGGAAAAATGGGAGTGCGTTTGACGTTAACAAGAAGTCGATAATTGTCGCTAGAGGTATTGGCAAGGGCCGGCGAGCGCTGAGGACGTTTGGGTTATTTTGGAATAACATGGAAAGCTTTTTTGGTTTCTTAAAAAGTGGAATGAACAACGATAGTACGGACAAATTTGTTTGCAATAACGCGCGGTGCGTGCTCAGCTAGGGGTCACGACCTACATGACATAATTTACACTCTCCGGGAATTCTTTATGTTCAAAGTCCATATGTCCCTGGTCGCTACTTTAAATTATCAGTGGATTAGCCACAGGAAAATATGAATGTTTAAAACAGCGGATACACGTATGTGACGTCATTCAGATAGTTGTGTGAATGCCGTCAATCTGATTAAAAAATCATGTATTGTACCTCAGACAACTACTAATGTTTTGGTTCTCTGAGATTGTACGTCGTGTATTTTTCAAAATGAAACGAACGATTTTTATTGGCTAATTGAATAACAACATTTTCAAACGTCGTTGACGTCGTTGTGCACTGTGTTCAAGTTCGTTGATTGACTGATTTCATTCAAGTGCCATTGAAATTATACATATTTATAAAGAGAAGGGATGCGATCTGTGGTGGTTTTGACCACCACGTTTCTACGACAACCTGGTACCAGAGATTAGAATATAACATGAATTGAATGGAAATATAACTTTGAATTGCATGGTACTGTCCCAAGCAAAATAATCTTGTCGACTCCCAATTTTAAGATTTTTTTGGCCACTTCAGCAAATTTTAGGCCTATTTTTGGCAAAAACGCCACTTTCTGCACCAAAAAGCGCTTTCAATACTAATCTGATTAAAATCCGATGTAGGTATGAGGCTCAAATTTGTTGTTATTATTTTTTTATGACTCTTTATATTATATTTATTTGTATTTTAGTTTGAATATGTCAATTTTTATGTTTTTTCTTGCCGTTAATCAGTTCTTAGAAAATCGTGTCCCAGTCGCCTCGTGTCTAAATCAATAATTACGACAAAAAACATTATATTTTTTGTTTTGTCGTTATTTACGTATTTACTGGAACCATGGACACTAGTTCCTTCCATGCTGGAACATATACTTTTCAGGTTGACACCCTTTGAACTTTGACACAAATCGCAATGCATAGTGGGAAAACAATATTTCAGCTGTGTGACTTGGAGCTTGATTGGTGCAGTAAATGAAATAGAAAGATTTTGCTGAGTCTGCGTCTCTGTTTCAGTATTTGTATATACTTGTGAAAGTGCAGTGACATGATGTATCATCCAACTAGATAGAAACAGATTATGGACTGACCGTAGTCGAAGGTGATAACGCAGACAAGAGCTGTCACCAGAACGTGTAGAACACGTGTTTAGGCACACAGTATAACGTCGCATTGGAGCAGGGTAACACTTCCAAATCAAATACCTTTCACTCTAGACATGAAAGGACCACTGACTTTTCTTTCTGGATCACGTTACCTTTTCCGCAGATTACGTAATAATTTGCATATAAGGTCACGGACCTATCATAACAACAACAAGATGACAAACGTGAGTTTTTTGTTTGTTTGTTGATCAATGTTTTTTACACAGGCGTTCGATATATATTAATGTAGCTCTCATACTAGTAATTAATAATTTTAATCAGCATAATTAAATTACCATTTTTGAATTGAGTTTTATTTATTTTCTTCCCTTTAAAGCATAGAGGGTCGTCACCTGCGCATGCGGTGGAAAGGCTTATGGGTAGAAGCTTGTTTGTAAGCATAGGTGATGACTTGGGATTTAAAGCGAGAGGGTCGTCACCTGCGCACACACAGGAATTGAGTCCCAAGCGACGATAACAACACACAGTAAAAACGCAAAGGCTCATGCGTAGACACTTATTTTGTAAACAATGACAGGCTATGGCCATCTCACGCATGCGCAGGTGATGACTACCCCACTTTAAGCTTATTTGAGATGTAGTTGCAAAAAAGATCGGAATTAATGAAATATTCATTAATAATTCTCCTCTTTGTCACTGAGAGTCTGCAGAAACTAGTATATTTTCTGAAAGTTTACACACAGCTGTCAACTGAATATTTTCATGATGGATTTTCTGCAGTTTTCAAAACAATTTATAATTCTATTTGTGCCTTTTGCATTTCTTATTGTCTTCGTTTGCATACGATAGTTTCAATAACTTCAGAAAGCTTTGTGAATGTACGTTAAAATAACTGTCAACTTTTTGCTTTATCTCAGTTAAAATTAATAATTAATTCTCAGAACACCTTGTGTTTTTCAAGAAGTAGGATATTAAAATATCTATTAATAAATCTAGACACTATGTTTTTGACTCCTGTGTGCGAAGCACAAAAGGGAGTCTTTGCAGTTGTCCTGTCTGTATGTATGTATGTATGTATGTATGTATGTATGTATGTATGTCACTTTTTTTGTTCCACCGTTATCTCAAGAATCAAATTTTTGTAAAACTTGGTACATAGATGCTCTGAACTAGTGCGCAGATTTGATTAGTTTTGGGTAAAAATCTATGAATATTAATTACCTAATTTGCATGATAATTTACTGATTTTAAGCTGTTCTATGACTGTTTCACTGATTTTTGAAGAACCACTCATTGGATTTCAATGAAACTTGGCACATGGATGCTCTGAACTAATGCGCAGATTTGATTATTTTTGGGTAAAAATCTGTTAATATTATTAATTACCTAATTTACAAAATGATTAATCAATTTTCGGTTTTTCCACTGATATCTCAAGTACTAATCATAACATGTCAATAAAACTTGGTACATATATGTCATATGACACTGCACAGACCTGATAGTTTTTAGAGTAATATCAGTACATATTAATTACCTAATTTGCATAATTAATTTATTTTCAGCTTTTGATATTTCAAGTAGTAATGATCATGTTTC